AATTATTAGAAAATTTGTGTGCGCCTAACTTTTGTGCCGGTACGCCCATGGCAAAAAGTTAGTCTAGAGCCCTGAAACAGGTCAATGGGTATACCTAAAAGTTATAGGAAGCTCACTCTTGCTTTATTACACTGAAGACAGTTGACAACTGACATTTGTGGCTGCTGTCATGGTTATAACAAATATATTCTCATCAATGACTGCAGGTGATTGTAATGGGAGCAGAACAGAACGGCTTGCCAAAAGACTACCAGGAGAAACTTCGAGCAATCAAGACCAACATGTATGAGGGTCCCCTACCCATGATGGCTGAACTGGAGCGAGCCAGACGAAGAGCCAAAGAAAAGGTCAACCATCGTTCTAATGATGCCTGATTATCCAATGTAAACCAGGTCCACTTTTTACCTTAGCAAATACTTTATTGATTATAACACTGTATTTAAGCATGTTGTACCTTAGTTAGCTGCTTCACCTAATGGTTAACCTTAATTATAGGAGCATAGTTTATGATTCTACTATGCTCCATTGTCAGCCACAGGTACAATAGAATATTAATGACTTTGTCGTCTAATTTGGATTTAATGAAAACTTACAATATTCCTTAAGAAACAATATTACATTTATTTATTTTATGTAAACAGTTTTACCTTCATGTGTTATGGTGAAGATATATTTCAGTACAAAAAGTCCAGAGACTAAGGAATAATTCTATAGTTGGAGAAGTGTTTAAGAAAATGGATGGATGACAGTCGGTCTTCAAAAGGATACATATGGAATTACACAGAAACATTCGTCTCATATTTCACATTCTTCATACTCAGTGAGATAGGTGTTGGTGTTGTGGGAAACATTGTGCCAGGTGCTGCCTGAGATTGTGTGTAGATATCCGACAGTGTTACCAGGAAAGCTGCCTTTCTGACATTATATTGAGATGTGTTATTATCAAATTATTTTTGAAGCATTTGACCACAATCTTTTCTACCAAATATATTCTATATATAAAAGAAAAGGAAAGAACTTTGAGTAAAGTGTATGTTTAGTACATATTTTATCTCTCGTGGTATTTATATATTTCTTACTATAGAATAAAGGATGAAGGAAAAATTATTTATAAAAAATGCATGAAAATTGATTTTTTTTTAATTAACTCTTTTATGAGTAAATATAGTGCAAAACAGTTACACACGCACGCACGCACGCACACATGCACGCACGCACGCACGCACACACACACATACGCACGCACGCACACACGCACACACATACACACGCACGCACGCACGCGCACACACACGCGCACAGTGGTCCGCGTGCACACGCACACAGAAACTAGAGCTGCAGAAAGGTGCAACAAAGAAGGTGCCTAAGAAGTACAGCAAGCTGCCCATACCTGAGATGCCGGAAACTGCCAAGCAAAGACTCAAAGCCTTGGCCAGCTGTTTGGAGAGGTACACCAGAGAGATCGAAGGCAGGAGAATGAACCAGCTGTTCTCCACAACCAGCCAAGGTGTACTCTCAGTAGCAGGGGAACAATATGAGAACAGCACCACCAAAGCTGGAGACAGTAATACTGGAAGACAATATGGGAGAAGCATGCAACCCATAACAGCATTCCTCAGTGGCTAGTGGGTCTGAGGGCAGACCACAGCAAGCTCCCTGAACAGGGACCAGTAACCATCACAGTAGAAGACAATAAAGGGTCTCCAGTATGAAGAGTTGGACAGCACCAGGGCCCAACATGATTCATGCCTCATGGACTGCACTCCATGAGCATCTAGGAGCACAACTGAACCAGCTGCTAGTTGACGAGGGACACCTGGAATGGCTAACTGAAGGCCAGAGCGTCCTGATCCTCAAGGACCCCCAGAAGGGACCAGTCCCATCCAACTACTGGCCAATAACCTGCCTCAGTACCATGTGGAAGCTCCTTTCAGGCATCATAGCGGCTAAGATCAGGCACATGACTCAATACATGAGTGGGGCACAGAAAGGAATTAGCAAGAATACCAGTGGAGCAAAACACCAGGTACTGGTAGACAGAGCAGTCAGCCGGGACTGCAAGACCAGACTGACCAACCTGTGCACTGCCTGGATTGATTACAAGAAGGCCTATGACTCAATGCCCCACACATGGATCCTAGAATACCCAGAACTATACAAGATCAATGGGACCCTGAGAGCCTTCATCAGGAACTCAATGGGGATGTGGCAAACAACACTAGAGGACAACTTCAAGCCTATAGCACAGGTCACCATCAAGTGTGGGATCTACCAAGGAGATGCTCTGTCCCCACTGCTGTTCTGCATAGGCCTGAACCCCCTCAGTGAGATAATTAACAAGAGTCCCTAGTCCAGGACTTCTTAGACCAGGAAACTCCTTACCATGCATGGAGGGTTTCACCCCAAGTCCAGCACCCTGAGGCTGTACGCTAAGCGGAAAGAAGAAGGCCAAGGACTAGTGAGCATCAGCACCACTGTCCAGGATGAGACAGGGAACATCCATGAATACATCAGGAAGATCACCCCAACCAAACGTGTGCTCAGTGAATACATCAGGCAGCAGGAACCAGAGAAAGAGGAGCAAGAAGAGGAAGTATTATCATGGAAGGAAAGGC